AATAGTTAGAACATTAAATATCAATTGAAAATGTGAATGGAGGTAAAAAAAAATGGAGCCAGGTGCTCAGAGGAGGTTACAACCCAAAGCTCTCCATTTCATGAAGCCAGGTAGCAGAATTTGGGAAGCTGCACTTGCCATTTCAGGGGAAGTACACACAAAACCAACCTCTCCTCTTATAGTGCTACCAGGGATCTCTCAGGCAGCAAGAAAACACTGTCAAAGTGCTGCAGTGTTATGTGCAACCTGAAGTCACAGGAATGACAGGAATTCAGGATTCTGTTATTAGGAAGAGCAACCAAACACACAGGAGCTGCAGCAGATGCAGCTCTACTTGTCTGATGCATGTGAAAAATAAGCCATTAAAAGTAGTGCTGGTTCTTCCCAGCCCTGCCAATCAAGGTACAAGTTTAGGGCACTGTAAGAAAGGGATCTAATAGTGAAGTACACCCAGAACTGTGTGATGTCAGAGCAGCTTTGGCATCTGTGCAGTTTGCTCGCAGGTATGATAAATATTAACAACTGAGGTGACACAGAACTGCAGTGCATTGTGCAATTCCACACTCCTAAAGCTACCATAGGTCTGACCAGCCCCCAGCAGGTCACCCCCTTGGGGAGCCTTCATTTAGGACATCTGGCACAACAGGCACAGAGTAATCTACATTTGCTTTACAGCCATTGCTTTCTAGCACTGGATCAGAAACCTCTGAGGAAATCCACACCTTGGCCACAGCAGGGAAAAGTCCCAAGCCCAGAGTCCCTGTTGGGCTGGCTGCCAGGATCACAGGACAGCCTCAGGCTGCACAGAGATTGCACAAAGCCATCAGACTCTGACAGGAAGAGCAGAAAAAATAAGGTAGTAAGAGGCACTAACTGTAGGCTGTTATTAGGATTAGGGATTAAAACAGATTAAACAGATTAAAATAGTACACAAGGGGTTACTTAACACCCAGAGGATAAGACAACAGAAGCTGCAAGGGCTGATGTCTGCAGATACTTTCAGTCCTGCAGCAGTCACAGGTACAATCAGGCTCACCTGCAGCTCTCAGTGTGGTTCTGTTCTAGAAACTGAAGCCTGTTACTGTATGGCCAATAGTTCAAGACTTAGACTGACACAGTTTTAAAGGAAGCAAAAAGCATCAAGTTTTGCTTTTATCACTTTAAGGAGTACTAAGTAAGATTATCTCCATGTTTCAAATGTATACAGTGCTCAGAGAATGAGACTTTAAAATAATCAGCTTACTGGGAAGATCAGCTTCTCTGTGAAAGACCTTCTAGATAACAATTACTTCAGGTTTTCTCAGCAGTCAAAAAATTTTGTGTCATCTCTGCATTTTGCCCTTGGTATTCCCTTTGTGGATTACAAAAGTGGCCCTACTTTCTCCATGCCCAGCAGAACTTTGTTAGAGAAAAATATCAAAGTCTGATATTCTTCTACAAAATCTTCTGCAATCTGATCCTTTAAAGGGGGTGAGTTTAAGATCCCAGCCTCTCTAACTCAGTTATTTTGTTTCCCAGGTCTGCCACCCTTCCCTTGGTACCCTGGGCTCATTCCAAGGGGCACAAACACTTCTCAGCAGAGTGGCTGAAGCTGTGAACACCAGGGAGAGCAGAACCCCCCAAATCCACGGCCATGGGCTGTGCAGATCAGGTGTGTGTGTTAAATGATTCTGAGACTCCTCCTGCCCCATTTCCCAGTGATCTGTGCATTCTGCCCTGGTATTTTCCCACATGTTCCCAGGAGATGGAGCCTCCTTCAGGTGTTGCTGTTTGAGCAAAACCAGGCAATGAAAAAGATAAAAATCTAAGACAGATGGCTTTTCATGGAAAAACAGAAAGAACAGCTCATTCGGGCATGAAGAACTGGCAAATACCAAAAAGAAGGTTGTTGTTACCTACACAGATGAAAAAAACCCATAAAAACATGAAAAATAGTACAGGGGACAGCAAGAAGTGAAGGGAGCTGCACTCTGAGCTGAGGATCTTGATTCAGATTTTGGACAGACCAAAGGCATTCAGGTCCTGGTCTGCCACTGTGTCCATAAACTCAGGAGTGTCCATGAACCTCAGGCATTTCACAAATGGACTCAAGTTTCACTCACAAGCCCTGACAGGGGAACTCCCAAGCTCCTCTGTGTGCAATCAGGGAAGCAACTGCCTTTGTGGGCTCCAGCAGCCACAACAAAACCCCACAAAAAGTCAGACAACAGGTGATACTTCACTGCCCTCCAAGAGATCACTCCAGTCAGTCCCAGGGCACAGCCAGCCTGCCACAATACAGCCCCAGCATTCTCAAAAACACCACTTTTAGAAGTTGCCTTTTTATTTTTGTAGTTTACATTTAAACCTATAAAAGCCTCCTGATGAAATGGTTGTTCAGGAAACAGAAGTCCAAGGTACCATTTTCTGCTCAGCTTTAAAGTCTTACCCAAGCACCCAGGAGAGCTGTGAACACCAAGAAATCAATCCCTGTTGCTGCAGCACCCTCCTTTCCTTTAACTTTGCCTTTTAAGTGGTTTATTTTTAAAAGATTTCAGAGTGCTTCCATCACATTTCAGGCCCCAAAGTTATCTCTAGTCCAGGATCTATAGAGAAACTGGTTATGCTGCATGGAAAAGATAAGCTGCATTATTTTACCAATGCAATACTTTAATTTTATTGTTCTCATAAAGCAATAAACTCAAAGAATAATCTTTGGACAGCCAAGACACGTAGCTCAGATATTCATAGAGGGGTATTTTTTTTTTTTTAATTTGGCAACAGAAACATGGTTGATTTAAAATCCAGGTTATTTAAAATCAAAAGTTCAAAGTGCAGTTCAGATACTGCACCTGCAAACTGGAATTGCTGTCAGCATTTTATGCTGTTTCCACGTCTCTGCTTAAAGAAAATTCCCTCCTGTTGTTCCATAACAAAGAGTTAAACAGGAATGGGTTTGGTGGTGGATATCACCAGTCAGCCTGTGTCTCTGCAGGTGACCTGGGTACAGGCTCTGAATTCTCTGTGTTCTCCTCACTAACAAACTCCTGCTGCAGAAATCCAGGTGATTGTGCAGGAGAGGCCATTGTGGAAAGACAGGGAAGAAAAGTTGATTTCCCAGGTCCTCTAGAGTCCTCAGGAACAGAACTTCCCTTTACTATAGTGGGAGATTAGGCAGCCAGGAGCTGCTGCTGCAGTTGGTATTTCTCTGGGCTCTCACCCTTAGATCTAAGAGCTACTTCCAGAACACAGGAAAATTGAACCATTTTTTATTGTTACATTTTATTTTTTCTTGTATTCTGTGACTTAATTGCCAGTGATTATTTTTTTAAAACAGGGTTTATTGCTACCGTATTTGGCATAGATAAATTCTCCTGCTTAATGGGCTTGATACACTGGCATGGATCCCAGAACCATGTGAGTTTATTGCACGGATCATCAAATCTATTAATGTTACCAGATCCTGGTCCACATCTCACATTTCACATTGATACACTGAAACAAGCAAGAGAATTACAGAAAATGCAGCTCCCACAATTGCCTGCTGCTTCCACCAACACACTTGGATACATGGTGGCTACTCAAAATCATGTTTCAAGCTTGCAAAGTTCAAATCAACAGTCCAGACCTCACATATCTGACCCAGAGAATCTCTCCCCTGTAGCAGGACAAAGTCTGTTCACGCTCCTCTTTGGCAAAGCTGGAGCAACAGAAAAAGCCAACTTGTCAAATTTTAGCTGAGAACAAGATGTTCCTGTGTCCTCTGTTGGCAAATGCACAGCCTAGCAAGAGTAGCCCTTTAGCCATCTGCCACACACCCCCTTCCCAGGCAAACCTTTACACCTTTTCTGTGACTAAAATGAAGGTTTCTGGCAAAGAGCTCCCTGGTATTACCTGGAAATGGCCTGAAATTGAAATACTAAGTAAGAGTGGTGTCAGCTGGTGATCAAACACATTGAAGGAAGCAATCACTGTAAGAATCTAACAGCACAAACCCAACTCTGTGCTCTCTGCCACACAAACTGTGTGCTGCCAGGCATGCTTTGATGGATGCTTCCACAGGGAAAAGGATGGCTGAGGATCACCCTGAAGTTTAGTGCTGCTACAGCAGATCCCTCTGATTCTTCTTTCATGCTGTTTTGAGAGAGAAAACTTGAAAGATGGCTCTGGGCTTTGTGCTGACCTGATAACCTTGCACTTTACAATTAGAGAGGTGCTGAGGTCTTTCACTTCCCAGACCATTGATGTTTCAGGTACATCCCTGCTGCTTTGCTTCTGATTTCTTAGCATGCAGATGTTAGACACGGACAACTTTTCATCTTCAACTACAGGACCCACATCTGCTGCATCCCTAAACCAAGATACACAAGGATCTGTACTTATGTGGCACCTTTAAGCCAAGAAATTCGAAGTTATTCCAAAAGTAATAGAGCACCCTTACCCAAATAACTTACTTGAACTTTACTTTTAAAACACCCTTTTAAACCAATAAGAAATTCGAAGTTATTCCAAAATAGAGCACCCTTATCCAAATAACTTACTTGAACTTTACTTTTAAAACACCCTTTAAAACCACTTTATTAGAATACTCCTCTCCTCCACCCTGGAGCTATTTAAGTTTTATGTTGCCCAGGAGCTGCCGATGGATGCTCAACACAAAACCCTGCAAGACAAATGGGGTTTTTGTGGGGAAAGCCCACAAAAATCCCAGACTGGACACAGTCTGCACCGCACGCCTGCCTTTCCCTTTTGAGCCGGGAATCGCCAAGCGATGTGCAGTCCTTTGGGAATAAGAGTCACCACGGGATGTGCGGGAGAGAGAGGGCATGAGAGCTCTGGAGGGATCCACAACACCTCCCCCGACCTCGGCGGGGCAGGGAGACCCTACAACCCCACAGGCTGGAGGAGAAGAAGAGGAAGAAGGAGCAAAACTTTGAGAGAGGTTGGACAGCCGGAGGAGGAGGAGGAGGGTGCTCTGCAAGCCTTGGGAAAGGGCAGCAGAGGCTCTGCCGAGGGAGTACCTTGTAACTGAGCCGAGAGCGACTCCTGATGCTGCTGGTACTTGAGCGCCGTGGCCTCAGCCTTCCTCAGCTGGCCCTGCAGCTCGTAGTAGAGCATCGCCCCGTACAGGAACCCGAACACCACGGTCAGCAGCAGCAGCGTCTGGAAAATCCGCTTCTGTTTCCGGGAGCACATCCCGTTGCCCATGTCCCCGGCGGGGTCCCGAGGGCCCCCGCCCGTCACGGCTCAGCAGCGGGCGGGAGGCGGCGGCATCGGAGGCCCCGGGAGGAGCAGGAGGAGGAGGAGGAGAAGGAGGAAGGGACAGAGGGACGGCGGAGGCGGGGCCGGCCCAGCGTTTCAGCCCCTGGGCACGGCCGTGGCGCCCGGGGCGGTCTCTGCGGTGCGGGCAGCAGCGGGGCTCATGCCGGGGATGCTCCGCGTCCCTGTGGCCGTGTAGCCGGTCCCTGCGGCCGGGGGGATCTGCGGGGAACAAAGGCAGGTCCCGGCCCCGCACTGACGTGTCCCCGCTCGGCCGCGGCTCCCCCGCTGCGGGATCCCCGAAGGAAGTCCCGCTCCGGGCGCGGCCTCATTGGGTCGGGCCGCGGGGCTCTGCCCTCCCTCCGGAGCGCATTGGGTGCCCGCCGCGTCCGTCCGCAGCGGGCCGCGCTTCCCGCCCGCCCCTCCAGCCTCCGGCTTCAGCCCTCAGACCCTCATCCCCGCATCTCCTCAGTCCCTCATCCCTGCATCCCCGCGTCCCCCTGAGCTCCGCATCGCCTCAGCACCGCATCCCCCTCAGCCCCATATCCCCTCAGCCCCACATCCCCTCAGCCCCTCAGCCCCGCATCCCCTCAGCCCCTCATGCTCTCATCCCCTCATTCCCGCATTCCCCGGTGCGGGACCGCCTCGGGAACGGGGCTCATGCGGTGATGAGTGGAGCTGTGGCACCGGGGCTGTGGCAGCGGAGGTGACAGAGGGGCTGTGGCAGCGGGGGTGACAGAGGGGGTGGCACCGGGGCTGTCGGGGCTGTGACAGCGGGGGTGACAGGGGGCTGTGACAGAGGGGCTGTGACAGAGAGGCTGTGGCAGCGGGGGTGACAGAGGGGGTGGCACCGGGGCTGTGACAGAGGGGCTGTGGCAGCGGAGGTGACAGAGGGGCTGTGACAGAGAGGGTGACACCGGGGCTGTGGCAGCGGGGGTGACACCGGGGCTGTGGCAGAGGGGGTGACAGAGGGGGTGACAGAGAGGGTGACACCGGGGCTGTGGCAGCAGGGGTGACAGAGGGGCTGTGACAGAGGGGCTGTGACAGAGGGGGTGACACACAGCGAGTGCCCCAGTGGCACCGCCGGGACCGTCTGGGGCTCAGGGGCACCGGGAAGACAAAGCGCCAAAGAGCCTCTTGCAGTCCAGCCCCTGAGGTGTTCATGGAATCGCAGGATGGTTTGGGTTGGGAGGGACCTTAAAGATCACCCAGTGCCACCCCTGCCATGGCAGGGACACCTCCCACTGTCCCAGGCTGCTCCAAGCCTGGCCTTGGGCACTGCCAGGGATTCCCAGCTTCTCTGGGAATTCCAGCCCAGCCCCTCCTCACCCTCACAAAGAAGAATTCTTCCCCAGTATCCCATCTGAACCTACTCATCACATTGATCTGGTTTTTCATAGCTTTGTTCTGGGTGTTGATTGTCACAACCTTCACTGTCCTTGGTTTTTCTTCCCCCAGAGCCCAGCCCAGGCCACTGGTGCATCTCAGCTCCCAAAAATGTGCCATCCTAATTCAGTGCTCCCAAATCCCTCTGTGGTGCTGGAAAACATGTCACGTATACTTCATCAGCACAAGTTCAGACTTAGCCTAAATACAGCTCCCTCTCCTTAGTGTATTTTATTACAGAACAAACAAAACCCAATCAACTCTCAAGCTAAACTAGAAGAATAAGCAAAAAATCAAATTAATATGCCAAAGTTATTTTTGTCCTAAATATATTTAACTCATAAATCTGTGTTTTGCATAGGCATTACTCTGGCCTTAGTGGAAAAACAACATCAAAGAAGCTCAAGAAATTCTTATTCAAATATTCTGCATATTCCAGTAATTAATAGCAGTCAGTACCACAAGCTAATATGATTTCTATGTGTATTTCAAATATCTGTTTGATATATTCTCATTTAATGGAATCCCTTGCTCTCATCTGAGGACCAAAGTATTTGAAATTAGGAGTTAGACACCCAAGAAGGAACTGTAATTGCTTTGAAACAGCGATGATTTGAAAAAAAAAAGAAAAAAATATTTTCTCTTGTCTTTAGGAAGCTTCCTGGGGTAATCAAAGTTGCATTTAAAATCTTTTCTTCCAACCCTAATTGGTTCAAGGTGAGGTATTTTCATGCTGGTTTAGAGTATCCATTTCTTTCACAAAAAAATTTCAGGAAGTTTCTTAGTATCACCCAAGCTCCAGCTCCCCTCCCTCTACCAAACTCCTTCAGAGCTGTCCTGTGCTTTTGCCATTTCCAGGCTCTTCAGGCTGAGCTCTGCTGAGCAAAATGAGATAATTCTTTATTTTTGGACTGAGTCTTTCAAATCACCGGAGGTGATTTATACTGCAGCATTACAGCTCTTCAAATGATTTAATTTTTTTGTGTTTCCACTTGTTGCTTACATTACCACTCATAAAACCAGTATGTGTCTTCAGTTTTGATTGCTTTGCACTGGAGAATAATTGGCTAACATTTCAAAATGTTCAAAATGATAAAATGTAAATTTAAAAGGACACTGAACCCACAATGCTATTTAATATCTATTCCAAATACATTTAATTGATTATGGTGTAAATATACTTTAACTGCTAGTAGAAATTGGCAATATTATTAACAAATACTAGGGAGAAAAAAAGCAAATTACTATCTCATTTTGTTTAATCAAATATTACTTATATTCAGTAGCTGCTAGTGATAGATCTCTTCAGTTCATGTAAATTGTGATTCTCCATGAACAAACCAATTAAAGATGAAATGAGGAATTTATTGGGAGCAAGGGACTATTATGCAAAGCTATTAAGCAAATTTGAATTGGAAGTCCCAAAATAGAAAGGTTTGGACCTAAAAGAGGCTGTAATAGATTAAAAAGCATTAAATTAGTTGCTAGGAGAGAAATGCAACTTGGTCTAATCTCTGGATACGTTCCTGATCTAATCAGGAGAGATGAGGGATGGGCGGCTTCCAGCATGGGGAGGCTGCAGAGGGAATTGGTGGCAGGAATTCACACAGAGCCATTTGTCAGCTCTGCTTTCATCTCCTGGCCACAGAGGCTTGTGCAACCTCGGGGAGCTCGGGGGGTTTGTGCTGCTCAGCCCCAGCCGTTGGCCACAGATTGGCCAATTCCATCACATCTAACCAAGGAACGTTGAGCAAAATGAAGTTCCTCTAAGCTGTGAGAAAAGTGTAAATCATAACCCGGGAAGTTCCTCTCCATGTACTCAGATCTGGGTAACTGAGAACCTGAGCAGGGGAGAGATGTCAGAAAAATCCCATTTCCTTCGGACACAGGTTCTCATCAACCACAAGATGTGGGAAGTGCACCCCTCTGTAATTCGGACACCACAGAACTGCATTTTTTGGTCTGCTCTTTTCCTTTGCTTATTTTCCTCCTCATAAGATAATTTTCTTGTATTTTCTGTCACTTTTTATCACTAAACTCTATGCCACAATTATTACATCTCTAATAAAAATGATCATTGAACAGCTTTGAGTTTTTCCAGAGCACAGCAGCTAAACAGATCAGGCAGCAGGTCTTTTAGTTATTTGTATTTTATTTTAATCTTCCCAGTCAATGGATCAGAGATCCCAAGCAATGGAAATGCACGGGGCAGGTTGTCCCACACAAGTCACAGAACATTTCTTTGCCTGCCAGAAGTTAAGGAATGTCATGGCAAGGCTTCTGTTGTTATCTCTCCAGCTACAAGGTACATTCCAGCTGCAGATGTTTAACCTTTTTGTCCAGTGGCTAAAGCTTACTGAGACACACCAAGATTGTTTTAACATGCAGTGTCATCTCTTAGTGATCAGAAGCTGCAGGAATAAAAAGATTGGACTTGAAGAGGTGAATGCTTCTGGGAAAATTGAATTTACCCCTGCTTGAGGTCACAGTTTGTGACATTGGGGAAAGTCAGGATTTTTAGAGCTGAGCTATGTCTGAGTGTCCAGCTTGAGTAATCAGTTGAATTCTGTTTGCTGATGTTCAGATTAGAGGTGAGAACAAGAGGGTTGTGTTTTAATATAGAAAGTTCTGTGCTATTTAATATTCTGGGGGAAAAAATAATCAAACACAAGGCATCCCAAAATGGACACTCCAAGATATCAGAGCTCTGACATTTATGTTCTGGTGCCCCCAGTTCTGGATGTGGAATAGGAGATGATGATTGACTTTTACTTCATGGATGCACATAAAGACACCTTTTTGTAAATCCTTCAGCATTCATATGGGGGTGAAACACTGCTGAGAAAATTTGTGGGGATACAATGAGTAATTTAAACAATTCCCCACTGAGAAATGTGAGAAATGTGGTTCCTGGTGGCAATGCCTGAGGAGGCTACACTGGGACTTTATCTTGTTTCCTGACTTAAAACAGTCTTGTCATTTTACTGGCTCAAAACCATTATCCTTTGTGAATAATTCATGCAGGTAAGTGGATGCATTCAAATGTACAGCTGTCGTTGCAGGACTTGGAAGCAGTGGAGCTGTATTTGCCACGGAGCTACAAATTTACTTTACTGCATTAACATGCAGGATGCACTTGGAATGGCCATATGTGACTCTGTGTCACTGTCATGCAGTCACCACAGCTGAAATTCAGTGCATCCCCTGCTGGAGCCATTAGTTGCCTGTCAAGGCAGAACAACTTCTAAGAAACACTGAAATTTGATCAGCCTTTTGCTGCAATCCCCAGGGGGAAAAAAAACCCCTCCTCATGCCATTACATGCTCCATTGTTCTCAACATGACAACTTCCATAAAAACAGTAGTAAACACTTAAAATAAAGAGTAGAACCCATATCTTTTAAACAGTGAATTGACTTTAAGCAGTGGTCAGATGATCCACCTTGTGAGAAATTTGCAATTGGAAACCCCTGTTCCTGAGGAACAAAAAAGAAAAATAATAATCTTTGAGTGCTATTGATAATTTGGATACTCCTACAATTAAGGGGCAGGATATTTGAGCCTTTGGGCACTGATCTAATGGCACATTTTGTGCATTTTCACAGGGATCTGTTGGTATTTTGCTTCTGTGTGGTTTTCTGATGCTGCAGATCCCTCTGAACCAGTGGGTGAAATAGAAACAACAGTTTGGGCTGCCCCGAGGATGAACAACTGCACATCAAAGCCCTAGGGCTCTGCCTGCAGCCTGGGAATGGGAGGGAAAAATCCCAAATGGGGGGAAAAATCCCAAATGGGGGGAAAATCCCAAGTGGGAGGAAAAATCCCTGACTCCTGGGGGAGCACCAGGCAGGTGTGAGGACACAGGAGCCTGGTGGGCCCTCCGTGCCTGGAGTTTTAGGGAATTCTCTGTCCTGTCTGCAGGGGA